AGCAGGAATACGCTCAGTTCATAGCTTTACTTTTCTCTGTTTTTAACAAAGTAGATAGAAAGTCAGCCTAGATACAGTTTTTAATGAACACACTGCACATGAGCTGCTAATGTTGCTTACCATTTAAACCTTCCCTTCCTCACACATCAGCTCAATGAATGCATTTTTGACAGGTAAATTAGAACAGCTGCATTTGCAAATCAGGAGCAATTTTTGATCCTTTTCATGTTATAAAGCTGGAAATAGACTAGGAGAGATGTTTTTGCACTTTGAATACGGAGGCAGATCTTTGACTCATCCTCTTGAAAGAACAGGGGGAAAAAAGTATTGGAACACTCAGAAATCTTTCTAGAACACCTGAACCGTGAACCTAGAAGAGGAAAAGGGATATAGATGAGGGAGGAAAAAAAGAGACTAAATAGGTGATAGGAAGTGCAGAAAATTAGATTGGTGGGACACTTTAAAGTTAGAAGAAATTTGAAAGAGAAAACTAACAAATAAGCAAACAAGAATGTTGGGTACCCAAAGAAAATGAATTAAAGAAGAGCATTCAGAAAAGTCTTCCTTCCCTTAGTCACAAAAAGAAGCAATTTGCAAGAAGCAAATTGGCAAAGCAGTGAAATCCCTAGTTAGTCTCTGGTTCAGTGCCCCAGATATATTCAAAACCATCTGGAAGACCTGGAAGGTAAGAGGACAAATAGACTGCAAACAGTTAGGAAAAGAAAAGGTGAAAGAAATTATTATGTCTTTTCTTCACAGCAATGAAATGTTGACATATTCTTCTAAGTTTTTTCTTACAGTCACTAAAATGGATCCCACCTCCACTTGAGAATCAAATCAGCTAACGCTGACTCACATCCTACTCTTCTTATTTTGATTAGTATAAATTGAAGTCTTGATGCAGGAAGAAGTGACATATACAACTCCCCCAAGCTCCAGGCTTGCAGTACTTGTCAGGAGGCGGTGGGGAGAGGAAATCATGCTACTTTCCAATGATATCTTTAAAGATATTTGAACAGATTTATTTTCCCCAATGTTTATAGTTTATTGCCCAATAGTAACTAGTAGTTTTTCAAATTAGTCTGAGAAGTGTATACATATTGTATACATATTATTGATATTCAAGGTACTTGAGAAAAGAACTCTCTCAAAGACATTCCTTTTATCAGTGGTACCACTGTTTAAGTAACATATTTAATATGCTATCTATAAACACCAAAGGACTTGTACCTTCCACAGCCTGTAACTTAAAGTCTTTAATTTTGTCATATCTTTACATTCAGTTTACTCCCACCACCATGAGGTGGTGTTACCCTTAGTAGTACTCAGGAGAAGCTTTGGGAAAATAAAGTGACCCTAGAGATAAATGAAATGACAGGGTAGCTATGAAGACTGCACTGGCAGACTTGACAACTAGACTTTCTTCTTCTTCCATGGAGTAACAACAAAGCTCTCTTACTAAACAAAAAGGCTGAAATTAATGTGCTGATGAGGTCTTCACGCGTTTTTCTCCCTCACCAGCCAGGGTACTTCTCAAAAATTTTGTCAATAAGTCGTGACCCAGAGCATAATTATAGCCTACAGTGCCACAGGTTACTGGTAGGACGTTACAGTGGGGTCAAGCACAGAGGTATGTGTGCTTCCGTGTATTTCTGTGAGAAAGCAGTCAGTCCTTAGAAGAGCACAGCACTGCCAGAGCTGCATGCTGATATACTCTATTAATACAACATTTCTGTATGCACTACTGCTGACAAGGTAAATGTATATAGGAGATCATCAGAACATGCAACAAGTAAGAAAATGGGGGTGGGGGAGATTATACTTACATAGCAAGCATCCTAGGACTGTGTACATAAAGGGCTCATTGCTAATCTTGTTAGCAATCTTGCACACCTTTTATAATCTATAAAACAAAATTATCCACAGCAGTAATGAGCATCAGTTGCCAGATATCCTGGAAAAACTGCATAAAATTAAGCATGGAACTTGAACTAGAACTTCAGACACTCTACACAATGAAACTATTTTCTGATGAAAATTCATGAAATTATTTGTGCAAGATGCAAAATTATATTGTACCTCATCCCAGTTAGGGCTCTTGGGGAAAGGTCAGTGAAGGCAGCAGTTCATTTTTTACTAGTTAGCTTCCTCCTAAGAGGTAGAAGACCAGGTTGAATTCTCAACTTCATCTGAAGGAACTTAACTTATTAATTGGGAAGCTGTCCTAACCAGAAATCTATGAGGTATTTTGAGGTGCAACTTTCTTCTCTTACTTGACAAGCATTTGTATTTAAACTTAATAGAAATTGTGCCCAACTGCAAGAGACTGGGCACAATGATAACCTGGGTTCAATGTTTCAGGAAATGTTTATTTGTACAGAATATAAATGTGTCAGTAGGATGCAAAGTGACCCATCTACAGATATTCTATAGCAGCTAGGGTTTCCCTGAAAGAAAATTTCACATCCCTCTAAAGGGATAGGAAAAGATCCTGGCTATGGTCAGCATTAATAGCTATTCTGAAATCTGAGTGTTTCATAAGATGGAGACAGTTCTGAGGATTTACCCTTTCTTTTTGGGTCTGCTTTGGGTTTGGTTGAAGAAAAGGATAAAAAAATCTGCTTTGGTTTTAACCACATTTTTTATTTTACTTTTCTTTTTTATTTTGACAGTTGAACTTAAAAGTCAGTTCTTCTAATCTTGTTATTAACTTTAACAAAAGCTGTTTAAGTAGAAGAGAAATATTATGACGGTATTTCTTCATATATAATGTGAGGCAACCAGAGAAGAAAGGGAAGTCCAAGTAATATCCATGTACCATGTATCCATGTACGTAAGGTATGCAATATGCAACCTGCATGGTATTTTTGTTATGCAATAGATATAGGTTTACCTTCCTCATTATGCCTGCTTACAAAGCTGTATGTTTATCCTTTGAGGCTCATCTACATTCCAAACTCTAGTCAGTGTAAGGGCTGATGGAGTCAATGACAGTTCTATCTCTTTCTGAAAGCCATCAGTTTCATTACTTTTTCCTGCTAAGCCCTGAAAAATTTCCAAGCCATAGTACTCCATGGCGTGTGCTTACATATCACTGACAGATTTACCTGTTCTAATTAAATGATATTGCTTATTTTCCATTCGTTGTCTTTGAATTGTCCATCGCACTATAGAATACCGGAGTAAATTCTCTTTAACAAATTTCTATTTTGATTTTTTCTGTTTATTTTTTCATTTAAAAATGTCTTAGGATAGTTTTCTATTTCAGTAAAGCTCTCTGGCAAATTTGCATTCAGGCCCTGTTAAAGTAAAACTGTTTATCCCACACTGGAATTTTGTCTGCTAAGAAGTGCATTTATCAGTATTAGAAATGATGACTTAATTGATTCTTGTTCTTTAACAGTGGGCAAAAATTAGAAAATTTTCATCACAAATGGGCATATATCGAAAAACAATATAAAGCCATGCTGCTCATCTTGTAATGAAGATAATTTGGGGTTCAGCTTTTACCTCATAGCATAAATTAAAGAGTAGAGCTAAAAGGAGAGGGAGAGAGACTATGACTTCATATTCCTCCCCCTGCAAAGGCATGCCTGTCTGGTTTTAGAGCCTAGTTTTAATTTCATCTATGCCAGTCACACTTAGAAGGAACTCTGTTACGTGTAACTAAATGTAATTGCAGTAATATAAAATCTTTGTCGTTTAGAAGACTTTGAGTATATTGTGTAGTACAGTGTTAAATTAAAGAGTAAAAGTTACAAAAAAAAAAAAAACAGTACATCAAACAATTAGCAGGAAAAGCAGCTTGTTTAAAAAAAAACTCTCATAGAATTAAAATGTCCTTTAGTTGCTACTTACAAGCTGGTGTTGAACAATCCCTTGTGTTGTGATACAGTCGGTGAAAGTGCTTGCTGCACTCTGATGAAAACGTGACTGGCCCTGTTTAATAGGAGGCAGAAGTTAATCACAAAACATCAGTGAAATTATTTTGTAGCTTCAAAGACTGACTTCAACACAGAGAATTAACGTTAATTTTTTTGATACAATCATGCTTAATCCTTTAGTACAACTTAAAAAATTATGATGTACCACAAGCAGAATATATGTGACTGAAATAATGAAAGAAATACTACTACTGTGTTACTATGAGCATGATCTGGATAATAGAAATATGGCCCTTGAACATGACAGACTAATTTTGCCTTGAAATTCCAGTAATTCAAAATTAACAGTATAACTTACAGTATGGTAAAAAATAGAATGGTATGGCTATAACAGTACTTAGTTCGCTCACTAGCCAGTATTCTCATATAGAAGGAACAATGTAGAAGAAATGTGCATACTATTTCTGAAGTTACATAAAAGCAACATTTTAAGCAAATACAAGTTTCTAAGCCCTGGAAAGATGAAGTATCTTAGAGTTACAATTGGTATGTGGAAGATTTATGAAGTTCTTAATATACAATGTGGGTGTTAAGAAAAAATTACAGCTAAATATTATATAGGAAACTTGGGGAATGAGGAGAGAGCAGTAGCTGTTATTTACCTTAACTTTAGTAAGGCTTTTGCCACTGTCTTTCATAACATCCTCATACACAAGCTGATAAAGTACAAGCTAGATAAGTGGTCAGTAAAGGTAGATTGAAAAGTGGATAAACTGCCAGGATTAGAGGGTTGTGATCAGTGACATGAGGTCTAGCTGGAGACCAGTCACTGCTGGTGCCCCCAGAGGTCAGAGCTTCGGCCAATACTCTTTAATATCTTCATAAATGCCCTGAATGATGGGACTGAATGTACCTTTGGCAAGTTTGCAGATGACACAAAACTTGGAAGAGCAGCTGATGCACCAGAGGGACCTGCCATTCAGAGGGACCTTGACAGGCTCGAGAAATGGGCCGACAGGAACTTCACAAAGTTCAAAAAAGGGAAGTGCAAAGTCTTGCACCTGAGGAAGAATAACCTCATGCAACAGTACATGCTGGAGAATGATCTGCTGGAGAGCAGCTTTGCAGGGAAGAACCTTGGAGTCCTGATGGACAACAAGCTGAACATGGGCCAGCAGTGTGCCCTCCTGACAAAGGCAAGCTTAGACTGCATTAGGAAGAATGTTGCAGCAAGTCAAGGGAAGTGATTCTTCCCTGCTACTTAGGAAGAGGCGACATCTGGATTACTGTGTCCAGTTCTGGGCTTCCTAATACAAGACAGACATGGACGTACTGGAGCAAGTCCAGCGAAGGGCTGCGAAAATGATGGAAGAACTGGAGCACCTCTCATATGAGGAGAGGCTGACAGAAGTGGGAGTATTTAGCCTGGAGAAGAGAAGGCTCAGGAAGAGATCAATGTGCATAAATATCTGAAGGGAGGGTGTAAAGAGAATGGGGCCAGGTTCTCTTCAGTGGTGCGCAGTGAAAGGACAAGAAGCAATAGGCACAAACTGAAACACAGGAAATCACACGTGAACATAAGAAAACACTACTTCACTGTGAAGATGACAGAGCACTGGAACAGGTTGCCCAAGGAGGCTGTGGAGTCTCCATTCTTGGAGATATTCAACAACGAAGCGGACAGGGTCCTTGATAACCAGCTCCAGGTGACTCTGCTCAAGGCCCGGATGATCTCCAGAGGTCTCTTCCAATTCCAACTACTCTGTGATTCTGTGAACTTGGTTTCCTGTTAAAGTAGTCTTAACTGCAGACCTGCAGGGGGCAGCATGGCTTTTAACGTTCGGCTGAGGCAAATCCCCATGTTCCCAGGATGTAAAGTGCTGTCTCCCTGCTTTTCCAGCCTGTGCTTCCTTTTCTGTATATATGGTCAATGTCATCTATCTGCATTAATATTTGATAAAAACAAATAGCTACACAACTCTGCAAGTTTGATTCTCCTGTTCCATCACACCACTGATCTCCAAACCGTGGCTCGTATGCAACAAGTTGCCCGAGAGTCCTTCCATACTCACTGATGGTCCCAGGAAAATATTACTAGTGGGATCCAAGTTGGAAAGGACAGCAAAGTATAATGTCCACATCATGCAACTTGCTCAGTAATACTGCCTTTGAGAGCTGGGGACCAGTTTTCTGTGATTTAGACAGAAAACACTGACACTAACTGAACAAGACTAAATTTAACCTGCATCTTCTAATTTCAGCACATTTAGTAGTCCCAAATAGGACTTTATAACTTATTTCAGGCTATACTACAAGACGATCCACATATGAAACATGGCTGCTTTGACTGACATTACAGTCAGAAAAAGCTGCTAAGCATTTCTGGGCAACAATTATTTATTTCACCACTTGGGAGGAGATTTACCAGCCTGGGTAAAACGTAAGAAGCCAATTCTACCTGGGTAGCGGATCCACAAACTTAACAGAAGATTCTTTACTATTAGAGTGAATGCACTTGAATATTGTTCAGTGTTAACAGTGAGATGTAGATTCCCTGGGATATTTCAGCCATAGATGAGCTTTAGAATAAACTGGTCAAAGCAGCCTTTGCAAGTATAAACTGGAAGACTATTGCTACTTTTTATCCAAGAGAATAACTAAGCTTTACAGAAAGTATGTAATTTGAAATTATCTCAGATATACAGATGTAGCACCAGCTTTTGTCACTAAATAGATTCCATGTCCCTTCAGATAATATATGGTTTTCCAACTGTCTTCCTTGCCATCAAAAATAGTCTGTTAATTTTATTTGTGCTTTATAGGGCGATATGTGTCAGCCGTGTTTCCAAGCTGTATTGATAGACAGCTTTATAAGTCACAATATTATTTATAATTATTCCTAGGGTCAAAGTTTTTTACATACAGTTCTCATTTGGCTTAAAAATGTGTATAATTTTCTTGGCATATTAGAAGTGTAGAATAATTTTCTTAAGTTAAACTGTAAAGATAATGGACTGTAAAGATGATACTGATTTCCCCTTCCTCCCCTCTTTTTCTACACCTCCATTAATTTAGGATGTCCTAACACTTGAACTAGTAAGGAATGTATCTGAATAGCTTATATAACTAAGGTTGATGGAGAAAGGATTATAATTTGAATGGAATCAAGAGAAATAAAATTAGATTGTATTTTAAGAAAAAGCCTACAGATTACAGGAGCTAATAAAGCTGTGGAACAGGAAAAGCAAGCAGAAAATACCATCACCAAAGATATTAAGAGCATAACTGGAAAAAAAAGAAAGAAAGAAAGAAAGATGTAGGCAACAGTTCTGGGCCAACAAAGAGATAACCTTCAAGAATTTTGGATTGAACCTATTTTCCTTATTCCTTCCAGCCACTGTTTGTCAAATAACTTCAGAATTTTGATGGCAACTACTCAGGCAGAACAGGACTATACATTTAATCAGTGCCTTCAGAAATAGGTCTTTAAGTATTTTTTGGCATTTCTCCTTTCTGTGATTTAGTTTTGTGAAAGATTCTTCCACTATTGTTTATGAGCAATGAAATTTGTCCTGTGTGCATTATTTAGCCTCCCACAATTCTTATATTGTGCCTGTAACGGTAGCTGAGCAGTTTCCAAAGTTAAAAGTGAAAGAGAAACGGAGAAATGAAATCAGATAAGCAAAGCTTTCTTGTCTGTCGTCCCAAGGAGAGTAATTTTCAGTATTTCAATGCTATATATAAAAGCATAACTGGAATATCAATGTTCTTTTTGTTTTTTTCTCATTTGGATTGAAAACGGTGAGGCTTGTAACCATTCTTGTTTACCGTAACAGTGAAGGGCCAACTGGGTGTAGCACATCTCCTGTAGATGCTGTTAGGTTGTAGTTAACAGCTGGCAGAAAGATCCTTAACTTTGTCCTCATGTTAAAGGTTTGATAACAACTATCCCTTGCAAAGCAGATAACAAATGCTTTTCTTTCTTATCAAGGACTGTCATAATTACCTCCATTTCTCTTTTTCCTGCTCCAACAGCCCTCTATTTCTCTAGTTTTTAGTTTCACTAGTCCCAATATCATTTAAATACCCCAACAGATTTGCAGTGTCATAATCATCTGAGATCTTCATTTTTCTGAATTCCAGAACATTTGGAGCAAGAGAACAAAGACTCAGAACCTTTGTGCTGTTGTCGGCAGCTTTTTTGCTTATAACCAGAAGGTACAATATTTTTGCCAGTAGTTACAAAATAGAGTCCCAAAGACAGTACGTTATATAATTTCATCTCAGTTTTAAAGTATGAAGAAGTATTTGATTGTAATTATCTCGAACTTTCATATATGTAACAGTGAATGTTTTTTTCTGATTGATCTTTTCTGATTGATTTGAACCGATTTGACCTTTCTATATTCTATTTGTTTATCTCGTTAAGATAAGTGTCCACAAGGATAAAGCATGAGATAGAGATAAAAGACAAAAAGTGCTTCCCTACTGCAGTGAAAAGTTACACAGGCACATAGATCTGTTTCTGAGTGGTGTCTACAGCCGAGAGAGAAGCTTTAAAATGAGTGGACTCAAATATGGTAGGACTGACAAAAATTACGGACAGAATACATATATATTTAAAGATAAAGATATACTGAGTTCTCTTGCTGAAATATTACTGGTGCAGATAGGTGTTCATATATATCACATATTTTAACATCATACTATAATATATAGGGCCATACATTTATACATTCAATGCAGCTGCAAATCAACATCCCCAAAGTATGGTGATGAAAAAGGAAACAATAGATCTGAAATCATGAATTTTCTAACTTACCATATTTTTAAAGATATTTTAGGCTAAGTTACTCAAAGAGAATCAAATCTGCATGTGATTAGAGTCCTTTAAAAATTTCTAGCACTAAATAATAAAGATTTAACTTCAAAAATGTTAAATTCAGTGCAGAACCTCAAAAAAGCTAATGATGTGACTATTTTCTTGTGGCTACTTAGGATATGCATATATAGGTAAACTTTCTTGTGGCTACTTAGGATATGCATATATAGGTAAACTAAGAGCAAGTACCTTGCCTTACCTGTAAAATGCTTTATGAACTTGTCTTTTAGACTGGAATCTCTTGGAAAAATTTCTGAGGAGGGAAGAAAAAAAATTATGTATGTAGTAGAGGGATTAAAATAAAAGCCGTGAAAGCATAATATGCATAGAATTACGCTGTAAAGACTCACAGTAACTTCCCATATTAATTCGCATAATTATATCCATATAATACTCTATGCTTTGTGTAAACAACATTAAAAAATGTTTCAGGTAATTTGCAGATTAATGCCAAACAGTCATCCTACAACATACTATCAGATTTTCTGTCAAACATTTCAGCACGTCTTAGGGCTGAGCTAAGCTATATTTTTAGAAAGACCCTAAATAATATGAACATGTTATCATGTATTACAAGTATTTCAGTACCTATGCAAATTATCTAAAATACCTAGATAAATAGAAACCAAATACCATACCTTGGATTTTGAAAAAAGAGGTAACTGAAAAGGAAGATCTCCCAGAGATCATCTAAGATAAATGAGCTGTGTATATTTTCCTTGTCAGTATTAGCCAAAAAATAGTACTCCTCTCCTCTCAAAATTGTTGTGAATTTTAAAATGTTCCCTTTCCATAAGTGATTTGATTTTTCCACAAAACACAGAAAAGAGTACCTATCTCAGAATAGCCAAAGGAATCAGACAGAATAGAAATTTCAGCTCACACAAATACTCTACTCACTAGGGTGTTTTGTCACGGGATGCTGCCTCTGGCTTACAACTGAAGCTTCTGATGCAAAAGTAATATTCTCAGGACTAGTGCATTTTCCCTAAGTTCCACAGCTTTTCCACTGGAAAATTGTTTTCTTAGAAAATTCTTAGGTGACTGTAGTCATAACTGCAGACAGTAGCCACTCTCTCCCTAAGAATATAACAGCATGTCTTATGTTATTTTCAATCATTGTATTATCCTTCTGTTTTGTCCCCAGTTCCCACAAACAGTAGAAAATTGCTTTACTTGTATTTTTGTTTTATCACTAGCAATGGATTGAAGTCTAGTCTGAATTAAAATTTAGCTCAGAAAAGAGCAAGTTGGTAATCTGCCACAATAAATTCTTACCACTGGCTTTAGGCAGTTTCTAAGGGGACATACGAATGTATTTTTAGGCTTGGATTTTAACCTAAAGTGCCCAAGCCTTATTGAAACTCAGCAGGATTAGGGGACCTAATTTACTTAAGGTTCATTGAAAATCACAGTCTTAACTGGCATAATTTTAATTTGTTTCCTCATTTCAAGTGAAATATTACCCCTTCCCAATTAAACTTAAAATGTTATGGACATGAAATTTCAGGTGATTTAAAATTATTTGGAGTGAAGCATATGAAAAGACCAACTAGTGAAACAGCTGCGTGAGTTGTGAGTGGGATGCCTTGAGTGAGTCAGTAAATAGGAATAACCAGTCTGGTGAAATTTCACTAAAGAATAGACCGTTCTTGCTCCGAAAAATAACATCTAGAGCTGTGTCCATTCAAAGTCTGTAGAATTTGCTGTGGAACGTGAACTGCCCTTTACCACATAAAACTGTGTAGGAATAGTCTGTAATAACAACTAGTATCATCAGAGAGGACAGCAGGCCAAAACCCTACCCTTAAATGCACAGAAGGTAAAATAGGGCAAAAGATTTGATGCCCAATTTGATGCTTGCTCAGGAAAGAAGCTAGGAATGTCAAGCATGAACTGCAGCTCTAGCTCTGTCCTTAAGCCTTAGAATGAATGCTGCAGGGTCTGCTTCCCACAAATAACCTACATCGGCCCGAGAGTTCACACCAGCTCAGTTATGCATGTCCCAATAGGGAAAACTAGGTCAGTCTTGAGTTGCAAAGTGAATGAATGATCCTGATTGCGTGCTGGTTTCTCCCCTGCTGTGGCTGCCATCCCTCCAGGCAGCAATCATCTTTTCACCATGTGCCCATGTTTCAGCTCTCTTGAAGTGTCCATTTTGTTACAATGCAGTACTTTCGCTTGGTAAAATATGTCAGTGAGCTGCTAGCCCTCTACAAAGACAACCTAAGCTCATTTGTATAAAAAGCATGGGCAGGCACAGGTTACTGGAACACTTCTGTCCACTTAATCTAACAGCAGGGGCAACTCGGCCTGAACTATTAATTGCTCTACACAAGTACAATAATCACATTCTGTCTTCCAGCAGCATGAATGGACTGTGGAACTATTTATGAGACCAGGCAAACCGGGAAATCATCCCTGCCATAGCTATTTCCTATTTTTTCCTCAAGGACAGGTTTTTAGAATTGCCCACTTCGAACAGCAGCAAAGTCCGCCTCTCTGCACACAGATGTGAGGCTGAGTTCTCAAAGGACTCAGTATTCAAGCAAATTAATAAACACCCGTTTGAATAGGATACTTATCACTGGCTCCCAGCCAGATTGCAAGGCAGCCAGAAGCAGGATCTCAAGTTCATACAGGAAACTTTTATCAATCAGTCAGTAAAAAATCATCAAGACAGAACCTCTATGCTAGGTTATTCTGGCTTCTAACCAACTCTTAGTTGCTCCAGTCATATTTCATGTGGTATCTATCTCCTGTTAAGATAGATATCTTAATATCTACTCTCACAATGCAAGTTAAATTCCTTTGATGGATATTAATTTCACAAAGGAAAAGCACCACCACATAACATAAATAAGGTGGATGGGCAAAGTATTACTAAAACTCAAACAATATGAAGTGGCACTAGGCAAACAGGAAAATGAAAGAATAAAACTCTGTAAGTGTAAAATCCCCATGAAAAAGAAGTATTGAATGGAGTGTTGATTTTTGCCACAAGACCATGTTACATAGGTTGTTAATATACAGTCAGTACACTGTCTAAATATCACAGGCCATCACATGGGATGTGGTAATTGTTTTTCATCATGTTGTAGAATATTCAGCCTGTGGCATTCCTGTGCCCAAACTTACAAAACCTGTGCTGCTCATGAAAGAGATTACAGAGGAGTTAAAAGGGACTTGTGCCATTGATACGTCAGATTCATCCTCAGTATAATCCCATCTTATAAGCATAAAAAATCTTCTTAATTCAAGGATTTCTTTCTTGTTTACTTTAGGGCCTCTATGTGTGGCTTTAGATAACTATTTTTCTGGGGCAAAATACCACCTATCCTACACCACTTCCACAGTAGCAATGGTCGTGGAACACTGTTAACGCTGCTAGGACAGATCCACTACTGGTCTGCTGCCTAAAGAACCGAGAGCATTTTTATGCCAAAAATCATGACAAATTTTGAGAGTTTTTCAGGTCTGTTCTACAGATGGATGATAAAGTTTATACCACAAATTTGGTTCTAAACCATCCAAACTTTTAATTCTCTTACCCCTAGGTATGATATATCAGGGAAGGTCTTGGGGCTTCAGGTAAAAGGCCTCTGGATCTGCCAGAGTTTTATCCCATATATGGGATAAACAGGGTGACAGCGAGTTATTCGCATAGCTTGCTTGAGAGCTAGGCTGGTCTGGGCTCAGAGGCAGGGAGTAACAGCTGCTCCAGCTCTCCCCTGTAACCACCCCTGTTTGTTTTGCTCTAAACTTTCCAAAGTTGATTTAAACGACTCTTGTTAAGCTATCCCCTACAAAACCATTCTGCGTGCTTTTCAGTTGTTACTAAGCACTTCATAGCTGAGGTAAATGTTTAATTTTTCACTAATTTGAACACACTCATAGACAGTAAGAAGACTAAAAGAGCCCAAGCCCAGGGCTCAGGCAGCCACTTAACCTGCAGTATGGATATAGCTCCTTGACCTGGCATGGGGCATTTCATC